AGTATTAAATCTATGACAAAGTTATCTAGAAAAGGAGAGAGGGGGCAACCCAGAAGAACACCACTTTCTGTAATGAACTCGGGTGAAAAAGTGCCGTCAGCTCGGACTCGATTTTGGATATTAGTATAAAGAGATCGTATTATTGAAATCAACTTATCGGGCTTACACTTCAACTCGAGGTAGCGCCAGAGTATAGAGCGGTCGACTGAGTCGAAGGCCACTTTCAGATCGAGAAAGACAGAGATTGTGGGTCTGCGAAAAGAATGCCTATGCTCCAGTTTGACAAGGAGTAAAGATGTGGTCGATACAACATCGACCAGATCTAAAACCAGCCTGGTTCTCACGCGTGCACCGTTCACGTGGGGCAGAGTATGATGTAGCGAGAAGTTTAGAGACGATTTTGATTAAACCAATTCCTCTGTGATTTTCACAAGGGTACCTGTCACCTTTCTTGTAAATCGGTATGATCACCGAAACACACCATTCAGTGGGACGCTGTTCCCTCTCCCACACTGAGCTCAGTGGTTCCGTTAACTCCGAAACCAAGACTGAACCTTGATCTCTAAAAACCGATGGAAACCACCCGTCTGGGCCGGAGGCTTTATACCTTTCAGATAGCTTATTTCCCGGGAAACCTCCAGTTCAGAAGGGGGCTGGTACCAACTGGCAGTATCTGCCCAATCGCGGTGGAATGTGATGTGTCAGATTTTGATGGGGGTCAGTTGAACTGAGCCTCGAAGTGTTCAGCGCATCGATCAAGACGGCGTTGCTGATGGTGAAAGTTGGAGGTCTTTATTCAGTAGCAACTATGCGGCATAGGTGAGTATTTAGAGATATTTGCTAACGCCACCGACACAGAAAAAACTACGAGCAACGAAGAACTGCAGTGATTTAGTCAAGTTCACACAATGGTGCTGACTGAGCCAACGAAACAACATTTCACCAACATTCAGACCGATGTGGGGATGTCACGACAGTAGCCATTCGAAAATTTGGACCTCCAAAGTCAAGGCCGACATGCGGCGCCTGGGTTTGCCAGTAGTGTACGGTGACAAAAGTTGAAATGTCCAAGGATTGCAATCTGTGCTAACCTCTTTTCGGATTGTCGTGTGTGGACGATCATGATAAAAGATATCCCGGAAGTCGATTCATTGTCATATAGATATTTATCGGCTACACGCAAAGTAAGTGAAACATACATTCTCGGTTGATCCGTTAATTCTATTTGCGGCCTATATAATACCTCACAGGAGATAGCGTTTTTTACACAGACTACATTTTCAATCACGATTGATACGCAGTTTTCACATGAAAAAGTTGTTGATACTTGTTCTTTTGTAATTAGTTGTATAACTGATGGCAGTTGATGATTTTAAAACTGCAGAATCCCCATTATCGACTTCTTAGTTAAATTACTCGACAGAAACATACACGTCGGGAAGTGGAACGGAACATCACAAGGTAAGGTAGTACCCATCTGCGATGAAGAATCATCGGCATTTATAGGTGGAATGTGTTAAGGGTGCAACATTATCCATTGACCTGTATAGTATAACGAAACCTACCCAAACTGATTAGCTGCTACACTATCGACCGGTTATCTGACGCATATCACCGTCAGGCGGGGCTGCTGACATACTTCGATGTCACGCGTTGTTTCATTTACACGGGGAATAACGAGTTCCCGACAGTTGGGATATGAGTTTGCATGTGCAGGCGAATGGATTGAAGCTACCGTGACCATAGAATTGCAACAACAAGATCACGTGCTATGAACGCCTATTTTTTTTCTATTGCTCAGTGTTGGTACGCCTAATCTGCTCTCCCCCCCCCCCCAATCAAAATCATGTTACTCAGAATGAAGAAAATAAACAGACAAAAAGGGTGCCATTCAGAGCCTCAGTATGGTGTGAGAGTCTTAAGAAAAGCGACCAGCATCCGTTCTCTTGTACTCCGCGAAATGCGCCTAGATGCAAAAGCGTCTCAATTAGCCTCTACTGAGGAAGCCATACTCAATGCTTTTGTGGCTTTTACTATCCAAAATGAGAGGAGAAAAAGCTAAAATCCGGCGCTATAACCACGTCGGTGAACCACTGACAATTCACCTAGGGGATTTCAATAAAACCCCTCATTTAAAAACATCCAAGAAGAGATGGATGAACCACACACACCCTCCTGGTTGCGGTAGTAGATACCAGCTCGATTGTTTATCGGTGGGAGGGGGGTAATTGGGCACTTTGGATGTTTGCTTCCGTCCAAAGGACGTAGGATTCGATTAACTGGACCGCGGTCTACATGGATAACGGTTTTCACACCGCCCTGCTACCTTGCGGGTGTGGGATTCCCCAGAAAATTCACCTGGTTTGGCCTGTACAAACTGGTAGTGAACGACTCACTGGCAAATCGTGGAATTTTTTTGTTGTAAAAAAGGCTGTACCATGATTTGTTTGTTACAGTCCGGAGTCAGACAAGTGTGAACTATAATATTATATTCCATAACAAATAATGGAAAACAATCGTAAGATTTGATGGGGAGCTTGGAAAAAAGAATAAACACAAATGAAAAGTGAAAAGAATAACCCTAAATAAGAAGATTGCTGTTCTTAAAACTGGACGTTGGAATGAAACTGTGAGAGAACTTATTTAACAAACGTAGCAGTATACGTAACGCGTATCAAGCATGATATAACAGCATCGAGATTAGATTTCAATGTATGTTTTGGTGATACACGAGCGAAGGAGCGGTGGTGAACTCAATATGAAATTGTCAACTTTAAACGAGAATACAAGTGAAACGGCGAATACAATCAACGGATAATGCAAATAATCAATAGAACACAACCCAGAAAAGTAGCTAAGATGAGTTTAAACGGAAACCTAAAAGTGAGTATCAACAAAAATTAAACGCTGACATCGCTGTGAAAAACGTTGACTGGCCATAAACTTTTGACTTTCGGAGATCCAGGGTAACCATCGAGCATCCTGTACTTTTGGTTTAGATAGCACCATTTTTGCAACCATAAGAAGATATTCTCTCTGACGCATCAGAGATCCGATGGACATGCACAAGACGCGTTATATATGTATTCACAGATGCATAAGTTCAGACTGTGCCAAACAAATCACGGTATATTAAAATGTTCATACAAAGAGATAGGTCCAAAGACACGATACTGCTAGGTTACCCAAATCACAGCAGGAAAATTTTCTTAGGAAGTTCATAATCGGAGCCTTCAACTAGTAAAAGCCTAACCAACAACGCAGCGGGGCCGTATGTGAGGGCCGGTGTCCAGTTTATCGGATCACTCGCCTCTAGACGAGGTTAAACGTTTAAAGTGCCCAATACCAGGCGAGACAGTGACCACTGCCACAAACAGGAGCATTTCGTGAGTTGCAACCCGAGACAACCACCGTCGACCATACTGTGGCTTGGCATAATTAGAAGTTATCTATATCAGATAATTTGGTGCTTACTCTCAGGCACATATCATTTAGCTATGTATGACTACGGACAGTCATGCAATTTGTTATCAAGTCATCTTATCACGAGCACAGGATAAATTTGGTGTGAAAATTACAGGAAACTGATTATCTATTAACTTGGAAAAGATTTTTGAAATATAGAAGTTGGGTGGCGATCATTTCGGACCACAAATATGATTGAATTTCATAGAAAATTAAAAACATATGAAGTACCAAACACATACATAGAACAAAAAACACACTTAACTATCTGTAACATAGGAACGCACACCAGCTCACCCATGTATTTGGCGGATTCCACAGGTGCATCCGGAGCTCGTACGAAAACGCGTACCGTTAAGCATCGTCCCTGAACTCCGTGGGATTGTCGTCCCTCCATAGCAACCGTTTGAGCCATACGGGAGACGAGTTCATAGCAAAGGGACCTGACCAGGCTATTGAGATCAGCGTGCTATTCAATAGAAAAGGAATAAAATTTAACTTTGTGGAACCAACAAAAAACGTGTCAGTAGGATTTCCCTGAGTACTATTTAAGTGCTTTTTCTCTGACAGTCATTCTTTCCAAATACTACCACAAAGTCAATGCACGATAACGAAAATACTCGATCGCATTTCATAAATAACACATGAAACAGCTGAATGGTGCTGTTCAGACTTTTCCTACGCGAAACGTGTTGGCACCTCATAACGGATGGCTCAATGAACATACTAGGAGCATCCTGATGGGCTGCCTCTGCAAGCCTCAGTATGGTCGGGGGTGGGTATCTAGGGTTGCATCTGGTCACCCTTCCCTTGCACCTCGCGAAATGCTCCCGTACGACCAATCGTCTCAAATAGCCTCTGCTGTAGAAGCCCTACTCACTGCCTTCTCGTGGCAGTGGTATTTTCCCACCAAAGTGAGAGGACGAAAAACCAACATCCGGGTTGGTGGACCACTGGTAGTTCACCTAGGGGAGTTGGCCAAAAACTTTGATTCCAAACCAACCAGGAGGAGGCGTACGAATCACACACACAACCTCCTGGTTGTGGCAGTGGTCACTGGCTCGATTGGGCATCAAGATGTATTGGCACCTTGGACGTTTGACCCCGTCCAAAGTATGTATGATCCGATAAACTAGACACCGGCCCCCAATGGATTGCAGTTTTCGCACACCGCCCCGCTGCCTTGTGGGTTAGCCTCTGGTTGGCCGAAGGCTCCGATTGTGGATTCCTCAAGAAAAGTCACCTGCTTTGGCCTGGGCAACCTGGCAGTATTCCGCCCACATGAAAATCATGGAACGTTTTTCTTCTTCATAAAGAATTTGTACCATAATTTGTTTGCCACATAGTCTGGATTCAGACTTGTGTGAAAATAAATAAATAAAATCCCGATAGTCTTCCTCCAGGTATATTTTTCCTCGAGGGAGATAGCAGCCAGAGAAAACTAAGTGTTGTGAAACTACAAAGTGATATGGGAGTATTAAAATCTTTACCCAGGGCACTTGGTCGTATGTGCCTTGTTAGGCAAGAGATCTCAGGTTATTGGGATTAGGGTCGTCAACAGTGGTACCTGTGTATCTAATCACTCCATGCGCACATCTAAGTCACTCATATTTTGTAAATTCACTTTGTTATCGTTGCTAGATTTTCGTGTTCGATGAAAAACAGGAACCTAAGTAGGCGAATGGAACCGAAAGACTAACGGCTGTACAAAGTGAGCCGAAAAATAAAGTATTAGCACAAATTCGTTCATTGACGAATATGTGAAGAGCAGAGATTGTGGAAAGGTTAAATCCATTAAATTAGGCATCTCACTGAAGCGATGTTATTGAGACTGAAGACGGGTGGCCAGGATTGTGGTAACAAGATTGCTAGTAAAACGAATAAGATCAACGGTTCATGTAACAGAGTTGAGTCGATGGTAAATAAAATGTTCGCACAACATCATTTTCTATAAGCAAGATTGAAAAAAAACAGTATCCATAACACATGCTCACCACAAGGAAAAGTATTTAAATAAATAAAACCTAATAGAATCTGTTATTAATAGGTACCATATTAAATTAATTAGCCCTAAGTATAGAAAAAATCCATCTCTTTTCAACCCTCAGAGAGCCAAAACCAATGCATCACCAAAGCTAAACTACAGAGTCCCAAGGACTGATTACACCGTGCCGACTCTGTCAGTAGGGCCGCATTGTGCTTTGCGCGTTCTCAAGTCGCAGATCAGGGAATCGTTTCCAATTCACAGTTAACCGTGAATAAGGTAGGCTTAGGATCATTGAATCAGCGCCCCCCCCCGACGATCAGCAAGGATGCTCAAGGAGTTGGTGGGTTCACCTCTCGGTTGTCCGGAAAAAACCACATATATGTGGGCAGTGCTGTGACATGGTGAATGTGGCTCATCACTAAATATGACCATGACAAGGTACTCCAGAAGAGAGGAGTCAGTTACAAAACTGATCACCGGTTAATTTGGAACAACGCTCCTACCTTTTGAAATCGCTTATGGGTGCGCAAAGGCCAGAGTGCATTATGGAACAAGGCCTACTCCGGATAGGGCTACCAGGTAGTACAACAACTCATAAAGTAGATAACTATGGACATTCTCACTTCGGTGCTTTGTTTTGCAACTGCAAGCCTTCCTACACCGCAAAACCTACCTGTCTTTTCCACTCTCCTACATTTCACCCCACCCGCTACACACAAATTTCGTCAAACTGGTCAAATTAAACGAGCCTATGATGACGCGCATTGGACAAAGGGCTCGTATGCTAGGAGCTAAAACCTACTGATGTGCATTGCATCCAACAGACTCTATTTAAGATCTCACATCCATCATCCGAGTGACGTTTCAGAAAGACCGATGCGCAGTTTCACTTACGCATTTTCTGGTGACTCTGAGACTGCAAATTTCAGTCTT